TTGACAGTAAACATACACATAAATCTTACAGCTTAACAACCAGATTTAATGGCAGCTAATAAAAGCAAACTTAAATTCTTTGAAGTAAAGAAATCCACACAATTGCTCACCAACACAGATTAACAAGGCTCTCTCTCCTCTCCCACTCTCTTTTCTAACTGATGTTGTAAAAAAATCAACTATGGCTCTATCTAAGTTAAACTCGGCTTAACTTAGATCTTGGTTATCTCTCTGGAGAGTGGAGAGACAGAGAACGATTTGCTCTCTAATAGTTCCCAGGTCTTTGTTTTTATTTTAGACAGAAAACGAAAAAAAGTAAAAAACAGAAGTTCTGACCATATTTAGCATTTGAGCAAGAAGAAAACAAACAACAACAGCAAGCTATCATTTTACTACCACAAATAAAATGCATAGATAAATCCGGTCTACAATAACAAAACATGATCATCATCGTCATCATCTCAACGCCAAGTCAGCCAGCATCCAAGCGTAGCCTAACCTTTTAAGGTCATACGTTTTGGAGAAGCTTAAGGCGCCTTTTTTTAATGTCTTGATTTTTTTCTTCTGTTTTTTTTTTTTTATTTTCAATGATGTTTTATTAATTTTTTCCTTATTCTGCATCTTCTTCTCTATTTGCAGTTTGTATTGGTACCAAATCCCGTTTATCGGTGCCATCGAATCGTGAACATCATTATCGCAATCTAAGGGATCGTTACAATAATTGCACCTATGTGGATGGCAATTTGGAGCTGACCTGGCTGCAGGATGCAAATTTGGATTTGAGTTTTTTGGAAAATATACGAGAAGTCACCGGCTATATTTTGATCAGTCATGTCGATATACGTCAAGTTGTGTTTCCAAGGTAAGATGCCTGCCCCCCCACAAATTCAGGAAAATTAATTTCCTCTCGTTTCTCTTACAGACTACAAATTATACGCGGCCGCACCCTCTTCAATCTCAATGTCCAGGACGAACAGTTTGCCTTGTTTGTGACCTATTCGAAAACGTTTTCCCTGGAAATGCCTGCCCTGCGTGATATCCTACAGGGTTCGGTGGGTTTCTTCAACAATTTCAATTTGTGCCACATCAAGACTCTGGATTGGAATGAAATCATCTCGGGTCCCCCGGATAAGTACAAGTACCATTATGTCTACAATTTCACCGTGCCCGAGAGACAATGCCCCAAATGCCATGAGTCCTGTGAGGGAGGCTGTTGGGGTGAGGGACCAAATAATTGTCAGAAATTTAGCAAAATCAACTGTTCGCCCCAGTGTGCCCAGGGTAGATGTTTTGGCCCCCGGCCACGTGAATGTTGCCATCTCTTTTGTGCCGGCGGTTGTACTGGACCCACCCAAAGGGAATGCATTGCCTGCAAGAATTTCTACGATGATGGTGTCTGCAAAGAAGAATGTCCGCCCATGCAAAAATACAATCCCACCAATTATCTGTGGGAGGCCAATCCGGAGGGTAAATATGCCTATGGTGCCACCTGTGTCAAGGAATGTCCCGAACATCTGCTCAAGGATAATGGAGCCTGTGTACGTAGCTGCCCTGCCTTTAAAATGGCCAAGGATGGAGAATGTATACCCTGTAATGGCCCGTGTCCCAAAACATGTCCTGGTCGTGCTGTTCTACATTCTGGGAACATTGATTCCTACAAAGGTTGCACCGTCATTGAGGGCTCCATAAGGGTGTTGGATCAAACCTTCTCCGGATATCAGGATATTTACAAAAACTATTCGCTGGGTCCCCGCTACATTGCCATGCACCCGGATCGCATGGAGGTATTTTCCACAGTCAAAGAAATCACGGGCTATTTGGACATTGAGGGTGTCCATCCGGATTTTAAAAATCTCTCCTATTTCCGTAATCTGGAAGTGATTCATGGGCGTCAGCTAATGGAAAGCTATTTTGCCTCGCTGTCCATTGTCAAGTCTTCGCTGCAAAGTTTGGAACTGAAATCGTTGAAGAGAATCAATGCCGGTTCCGTGGTCATACAGCACAACGATAAGATTTGTTATGTCAACGACATAGATTGGAGTAAGCTGCAGAAGTCCGGGGAACATGGATTTGTGGTGGAAATGAATCGCAACAAAGAAGATTGCAGTAAGTATTGGAAAATCTCCAAAATTATGGGCAAAGAACTAATATTCCTCTCTCTCCCTCTCTCTTTGCAGAAAAAAATGGTTTGGTTTGTTCGGATCAATGCAACAGCTCGGGTTGCTGGGGTTCCGGGCCGGATCAATGTCTGGAGTGCAAGAATTTCGAATTTAATGGCACCTGCATAGCCGATTGTCGTAACATTACAAAGTAAGTTAAGCACCCGATGCCCCCGAGAAATTGGAAACTAATATCTCTTTTATTTGCAGCGCTTATCAATTCGATGCCAAGACCTGTAAACAATGCCATCCTGAGTGTCGCACCTGTTCGGGGCCAGATGCCGAACACTGTGACGAATGTGTCCATGTGCGTGATGAGAATCGCTGCGTTACCGTCTGTCCCGAGAACAAATTCTCCGACTATGGTGTCTGTCGCACCTGCCATGCCACCTGTGAAGGCTGCACTGGACCCAATAACACCATTGGTCCGGGAGGCTGTAAGACTTGCAACCTGGCCATTATCAATTCGGATGGCGACATAGAACGTTGTTTGCTGAAAAATGATAAATGCCCGGACGGCTACTACTGGGAGTATGTCAATCCTCGGGAGCAGGGAAAACTGAGACCCTTGGCTGGCAAGGCCATTTGTCGTAAATGTCATCCACGCTGTGAACTGTGCAGCGGCTATGGCTTCCATGAACAGGTGTGTCAGAAGTGTGCGGGCTACAAACGTGGTGAGCAATGCGATGATGAGTGTCCCACCGATCACTATGCCGACGAAGTGAATCGTGAATGTTTCATGTGCCACCCGGAGTGTAAGGGCTGTATTGGACCTGGAGCAGATGAGTGTTTGGCTTGTCGCAGCTTCAAAATCTTTGGTGATGGTGATCCCTACGATAATTCGACTGTCTTTAATTGTACCTCCAAATGTCCTCCAGAATTGTCTCATGTCATCTATCAGGCACCCCACTTGGGTACCTATTGCTCTTCGGTGCCCATGAAGGGTTCAAAGCTGGTGGCGGCTGTGGATAATTATATATTCCTGGTCATAGCTGTGGTGGCCTTGGTTGTTGTGCTCGGCACTCTCAGTGTTGTGACCTATGTTTGCCGCCAAAAGACCAAAGCAAAGACCGAGGCTGTAAAAATGACGATGGTTTTGTCAGGTTGCGAAGACTCAGAGCCTTTGAGGCCCTCAAATATTGGAGCAAATCTCTCGAAACTGCGCATTGTCAAAGAGGCTGAGTTGAGGAAAGGTGGTGTCTTGGGTATGGGTGCATTTGGTCGAGTCTTCAAGGGTGTGTGGGTACCCGAGGGAGAAAATGTGAAAATTCCAGTTGCCATTAAGGAGCTGCTGAAATCCTCGGGAGCCGAATCAAGTGAGGAGTTTTTGCGTGAAGCCTATATAATGGCATCGGTGGAACATCCCAATCTGTTGAAATTGTTGGCCGTCTGCTTGACCTCCCAAATGATGTTGATTACCCAATTGATGCCCTTGGGTTGCCTTTTGGATTATGTGCGCAATAATCGTGATAAGATCGGTTCCAAGGCCCTACTCAACTGGTCCACACAAATTGCCAAGGGTATGTCGTACTTGGAAGAGAAACGTTTGGTTCATCGTGATTTGGCGGCCCGTAATGTCCTCGTACAGACTCCATCTTGTGTGAAAATTACCGATTTTGGCTTGGCCAAGCTGCTGAACAACGACTCCAACGAGTATAAGGCAGCTGGAGGTAAAATGCCCATCAAATGGTTGGCCCTGGAGTGCATACGCCATCGTGTCTTTACCAGCAAATCGGATGTTTGGGCCTTTGGTGTGACCATTTGGGAATTGCTGACATTTGGCCAGAGACCCCATGAGAATATACCAGCCAAAGATATTCCCGATCTCATTGAAGTTGGTTTGAAATTGGAACAACCCGAAATCTGTTCCTTGGATATTTATTGCACCCTGCTGTCCTGCTGGCATTTGGATGCTGAGATGAGACCCTCGTTTAAACAATTGGTCAATGTATTTGCCGAATTTGCCCGTGATCCTGGCCGTTACTTGGCCATACCTGGTGACAAGTTTACCCGCCTGCCGGCCTATACCAGCCAAGATGAGAAGGACTTGATACGCAAACTGGCCCCCAGTTTTGAGGGCAGTGAAGGAATGGCGGAGCCAGATGACTATTTGCAACCCAAGGCCGCCCCTGGTAATCACAACCAGGAAGGTTCGGAAGATGTACCCAAGCTAAATAGATACTGCAAAGATCCCATGAACAAGAACTCCTCGAATGAAAGTGATGAGACGGATTCGAATGCCAGGGAGGTGGGAGTGGGAGATTTGCGTTTGGAATTGCCGGTTGATGAAGACGATTATCTAATGCCAACGTGTCAGATTAGCTCACAAACCACTCTCAACAACAACAATGTAACCACCAGCAATGCCATGTCGGGAGCGCCTGGAGGCTACATGGATCTCATTGGAGTGCCGGCGAGTGTTGACAATCCGGAATATTTGCTCAACACATCGGCCAATTTGAATGGCCAGGAGGCACCCATACCCACACAAACTCTCGGCATACCAGTCATGGTGACGAGACCGCCCAATCCGGGACCAACAATGTTGGATATCCCAGTAACGCCCTCCGAACCCACCAGTTCCGATCACGAATACTACAACGACACACAAAGAGAGCTACAGCCTTTGCATAGAAACGAAACAAGGGTGTGATAGGATGTGTAAATGGGGCTCTCGGATCAAGAACCACCACCACCCCAACCACTGCCCTTGAGTTAGCGACAAATTCTTGCCCTAGGGTTTTTACAAAACCAGATACAAAAAAAAAAAAAAGAAAAACAAAATCGATTAAGTGCCTTAAACAAATTGTCTTTCCAAAACGAAGCAAAGCAATCTTCCTAAAAAGAAAACAGTGTAAATAGAACAAATTGTTGTTGTTAAACGGGAAATAGGCCAAGGGAAGCCGATGCCACTCCGACGACTGCATGGAACATTTAACAATTGAATTCAAACCTTAGACGTGCCTCCATTTATATATATTTAAAAAATAATTATTTAGATTTAAGTTAGCCGCTAAGTAAATATTTATTTATGTAAAAGAAAGTAATTTGTAAATTCTAGGAGAAAGCCAACCATAACTACACCCTACACCCAGAAATAGTTAACACTAAGTACTTATGTAACCCATCCAAGAAAAGCAAAATTTCGAAAATTCTACGATCAAAAAAACAACTTCCAAACGAAAACCAAAAGGTCTCACATCACCCAGATGTGGTACTTTGTGTAGGTCTTTCCTCCCCCTACCTCTCCCCCTCCCCTTCACCCCTTTGCCTTTCTAAAGTACTTTCTTTAGTTTCTAAGCTCTAGTTGTTAAAATCGAACTGTGATAACCATTAGCAAATAAGACACTCACTTTAATATTCATTATGACAAACAAACAAACAAACCAACAAAAACAAAAAGAAAGAAAAACAACAAAAACAAATGCAAAACAAACTAAACCTATAAATTTTAAGTAGACATTTAATTTTTTTATGTTTTAATCTATAAATAAATAAATTTACAACAAAAAGTTTTCAAGTTCAACACCCCTCCTAAAAACGATATAAGAAATTTTTGGAAATTTAAATTTTTGATAGAAAAACGAAATTTTCTTTTTTTACGGAAATGAGAACCCAAACGAAATTAAATTAGAAACAAAAATTAAAACTACGAAAAAGAAAGAAACTAAGCATGAGTGCCATTATTTTGTTCTGAGCAAGACAAAGCAAACCTAAACCACTGAAATTTACCCTCAATTCATAACCACCCACTCACTCACTCACTTTTAAAAGAAAGTTCTGATTTCGTTGCGATTTCGGCACCATTGCAATATTTAATCCCCCTCCCTTCAATTATGTTAACATTTTAAAAATAAATAGCTTTTCAGTTCTTTTTTTGACATAGAAACAAAAAACGACATATATTTGCAATAATCGAATATAATGTACTATATATATATGTATGTGTGTATATTTTTTCTGTTAGTAAAAATAATATATTATTTATATATATATGTATGTAAAAGCTATGTAAATTGAAAAACATAAAGGAAATCCAATTGTTTTTTTAAATATGATCTAATTAATGTTTAATATTATTGTGTAAAGTTAATACATTATTACCTACCTATACATATATATGTATGTATGTACATTGTATATTATGTAAGTTTAAAACATTTTCAAGAAAAACATATATTTACAAACAAACAAAACAATAAAAAATCATTTATAAAAAATATGTAAATTGGGTTATTAATTTGGTTATTGGGAAAATGTGATAAATAAGGAGCGGGTGGGGTCTGAACTAGGACACAATTTTCGACGATTTTTAAAGGGATTTTGTATAAGATGATTTAACAAAAAAAAAAAAAAAAAAATAATAATAATAATAATAAGGAAGTTAGGAAAGTTATGCCAAAGGACTTTTGTACGGAACATATCAAAATAATCGTGGTAGAATTAGATCCAAGGTTGTTGGTCCAAACAAACAGCTAAGGACATATTCGCCTAAATCCATTGCGATCTTGCCGTATATGTCTTCAATACGATTCTTGATGAAATCGTGTGAAAAATGACACCAAAGGTTTTGGATAAGTTGCCAAATAACGACGCCAATGAATATAAAGGTGCTGGAGGTGAAATATCCACGAAAAATGGTTGAGTCTGGAATGCATGACGTCATGAACGTTTGTGGGTGACTTAGCTGAAGTTATCTTGATCTAATGGAAATCTAGAATATATGAAATTTAGACGAAATCGGAGTCTCCCTTATTTATATTAAAAATAATATTATGGTTTTTCAAAATTTCGATCGATCGATAGATTTTTAAAATTTAAATAATTTATAAAGATAAGCAAAATACGCATCAAATCCGATGATCTTTTTATTTTATCGGAAATTATAATTTGTGTACCTTCCTATGGAGGTACCTATGGAGGGTATATTGAATGTATCGTTCTGTTTCGAAATATTTATTTTAGACCCCACCACGTATATATTTTCTTGATCCGAGTAAAATAGATTTCAGATATTCGAAAAACTCTCTCGAAGTGGAGCAAAAGCGGAAAACCTTCAAATGCCTAAAATTAGACAGAATGGTTATGGGCAACTAGTTGTAATCAAGGGACAAATCAAATCTTTGATTTATATTACATATTTTTTGCGAAATGTTATGTATCCAAACAAATAAAAAAAGGAGCTAAGTTCGGCCGGACCGAACTTTTAATACCCTCCACCATTTGGAAGGAACTTAAAATTTTTCAAAAATACCGTTCAAATGATTACCTTTATACGGGGGGCCATACGAAGACGTGGACCTGCATAAGTAATTTTTTTGTCATAGGCTGTAGTACCCATTAAGATCTACAAATACGGAAGTTGAAACAATTCCGGCAAATAATGTTGCTAAAATCATCAAAATACCGAAAATCGAAAGGTATGGTTATATATGTATGACCCATAAGAAATCGCGGGCCCGCATACAAAATTTTTAGACATATGCTGCAATACCCATTACAAGCTTTGAATTAGAAATGTGAAACAATTCGATTGAATGATGTCGCTAAAATGATCAAAATACCGAATATACGGAGGTACTATTTATTGGCGTTATACGAAAACGTAGCACTGCATACGAATTTGTTTTGTTATACGCTGTACTAACCGTTACGAAATTTGAAACAATTCTGATGAATAATGTCGCTAAAATCATCAAAATACCGAATATCGGGGCTATATGAAAACGTGGGCCCATTCACGAACTTAACCTGCCTCCTGCCAAAATATGCATGTGTGCAAAATTTTATACGCCTTTCTCAATTCGATCGAAAGATAGCGTGATTACAACAGACAGACAAACGGACAGACGGTCATCGCTAATAATATTCTACGCTGATCCAGAATATATATACTTTGTAGGATCTATCATGAATATTTCGAGGAGTTAGCTATGCTAATATACCCTCCATAGAATGGTGGAAGGTATAGAAAAAAGCTAGAAATATGCAAAATAGGACAGTATTGATGAGTTATACGGTAAACCTGCTGTTTTAGGAAAACTGTTCTCTATTCAATATTTCGAATTCATATTGGGTTTCTAAAATTTTTTCCAAAAAAAAAAATCAAAATATCAAAGTGTTGGTATATCCCAAATTGCAGAGATTTGAAAGTGCGGGGAGTGCTTTAATCCATTAAAATGGGTCATTCTTAAAAATTGTCAGATCCAACCAGATTTTCACAGAAGTCAGCTAGTGAAGATTTCTAAATGTGTGGAATGGCAACATTAACTTACACTTCATTTTATGGTGAAAGTTAAAAAAAGAAACACGTATTAATGGCAAGAACATTATTATAATATAAAGCCGCCATCTGTTGTAAGAGCGGCAAACTACTGTAAAAAATTAACAACATTGGCTCTTGTTATCGCTTTTATTGTTATTTGATATTGGTTCGAACCTTTGCTTTCGATTACAAAATGTCATCAACCGTGAATATATGTTATCGATTTTTGAAGTCCCTAAAATTGTAATAGAATGCCATGATGGTGACACGATTCGCTAAACATGTTATCGAACTGTGGGTTGTTACATTGGTTGGTAACTCAGCTAAAAACGGAAAGAGTGTATTTTGGAATAGAGAGGATTAGGATGTGGATTTCTCCTGCAGTTGTTTTATTTAATTATTTAAAGATTGCCCATTGTTTAAAGATATGCCCATTATATATTTGATGATAACTGACGATTTGTTTTGATGACAGTGGAAAAGTCCAAAGGAGTGCATTGGGTAGTTTATATATCCGAGTTATAATTGTTGTGTCTTTTTACTCTTTCAAGGAGATGTACTCTGTACATGGTTTTGGCAGAGTGGGAAGGAATTTTTATGCCATGCAAAAACAGAATTTAAGCAAAATTCTTCTACAAAGCATCGTTTTAGAAAAATGGCAACAAAAACAAAAGTATTCGTCGTCAGGTTTCATTGTAATTTAAATTGTCAAAGAGAAAAATCTCTATTTTCCTTTAAACACCCACATCATGCATCAGCGCTGTTAAAATCTTGACAATATTTCCTAATTTTTATACCCTCCAGCATTGTATGGAGTTTGTAACTCCTTGAAATACTTATGTCAGACCCATCCTACATTCTTGATCAGCGTAAAATTCTAAGTCGATTTAGCGATGTCCGTCTGTCCATCTGCCTGTCTGTTGTAATCACGCTATCTTTCTAATGAATTGAGATAGAAGGCTAACATTTTGCACACATGTTTATTTTTTCAGTAGGCAGGTTAAGTTCGTAAATGGGCCAATGGTACCTCCCGATATTCGGTATTTTGATGATTTTAGCAACATTATTCACAGAAATTGTTTCAAATTTGGTATTTGATGTTCGTAATGGATGCTATAGCCTATGTCATGAGATTGTCTGTGCAAGTCCACGTCTTCGTATAGCCCCCATATAACGGTAACTCCAGATATTCGTGGTTTGGATGATTTTAGAGTCATTATTCACCAGAATTGTTTCAAATTACGTATTTAAAATTCGTTATGGGAACTACAGTCTGTGACAGAAAATTGTCTATGCAGGTCTAGGTCTTCGCACAGCTCCGATATAACGGTACCTCCCTATATACGATATTTTGATGATTTTAGCTACATTATTCACCGTTTATTTCAAGTTTCGAATTTGAATATGGTAATGGCTTATAACATACAATACCTATGTAGGTCCACGTTGTATAGACCCCAATATAACGGCTATATTTGGTATTTTTAAAATTTTAACAGAATTTTTTAAGGATTTTATTTTTTGAAAATTCGTTCAAAATGTTGAAAGGTACTTAAATTTCGGCCCGGCCGAACTTACTGCTTTTTAACTTGTTATGATAAAGCTTTCATTTTTCAAATTGACGCATACAAGTTTTAGGCGGAATTTTGAATACTTAATATGTAATATAATAAGTTAAAAAGTATCAGTCAGCTCTGCAACAGCTGCATATCCTCAGCATTTGTCAGTATATTTAAATATGTTTTGACTTACATTATGATTGTTTAAAATGTTGATCCTTTATGGAGGAGATACCGAAGGAGTGGACCAATACTATCCCCTTCTCATCTGAACTAACTCCGATGTGTACTACAGCGTGCCCGATTGACTACTTCCTTCTCTTTATGCGAGATGTGTGGTCGTTTTTGGAAAATGTTGAAATATGCTTGAGTCTCATGATATATTGGGTCATACCATTCCTCTGGATGTGCAAAATTTAAAAAAAGTCATTTTTTGGGAAAAATTGTTAAGATAGCTTTAACCTTTTGTGGGGGGTGGTAGGAGAGGGAGTGAGACATCAAATTTTTGCTTCAGTTATACCAAGTTTGAAAAGAATTGCTGATTTGTTTCGCAAGTTATAGGGAATATAAGTATTGCAAATTGTGAACCTTTGTGTG